TGGAAAGGTAATTGACAACCTAAACCTGTAAAACACTTTGACCCCGCAATCTGAAACTTTCGCTGACTTTGGGGGAAGCGCTTTTGCAGCGCCAAGGGCTTTCACAGCCCGTTTTTTCGCGCTTTTGCAGCGCCAAGGGCTGTCGCAGCCCAATTCCCAACACCTTGTTTTCATCAACAGTGGCTTCAGGTAACCGCCCAGTGCTGCAGCCGCCCAGTGTTGCAGCTAGCTGCCACTTGGCTGCTTGACTGAACCTGCGCCAGGGGGGGGTTCGACTTTTAGCTTCACAGGGGCAACGCTTCTTGTTGCCGCGCTCCTTGTTCTAGTCATGGCTCATCGCTGTAGGTTTGCGACTGATGCGGAGCTACACGATGTGTTGTTGCACTTTCCAAGGCATTTTTACTGAATAGGAAAAGGGTTATTGATCTGGCCACCAAATTGAGAAACACCAGTTTTTCCATGTTAAACAACACAATTGAGTAGTAGAAGCAGTTTGGTGTGGTTGCTGTTTGCACTACCTGCTGCTGAGTAAGCAGCGCCAAAGGCTGAAAAAGCCATGTGGGGTGCCACTCCACTGTTTGTGTCTGCATGTCTGGCCCAAAAGCATCAAGAGTGTTTGGAGCACTGTCACAAAGAATTCTCGCAAGACAGCTTTGGCAACTTGATATCAGTGCATTCTCGCAAGACAGCTTTGGCAACTTGATGTCAGTGCAGTAAGCACAGGTCAGCTAAGTAGCACAGGTCATAGCGCAGGTCAAGTAAGCGCCGCTATGAAGCGGCCAGCATCGGCGCAATGGCAGCGCCCGCCGAGGGCAAAGCCAAAGCCGGCACAAGGTCCGCCGCGTTGTGTGTGGGTCCACGAGTCGAACGCTGCCGAAATGAGTGCGACACTGGGTGGTCAGGTGCTTGCAGGCCCTGCCCCTCAAGGCTTGGAAGAGATGGTGTCGATCGCGTTCGAGTACTGGAGCTGGATTGCTGATGCGGCTGAGGAGTGCGACGCTGGGGCTGCTGGCAGTGGCCAGACTGGAGGTGGCTCAGCTGGCAGCGCTGCTGGAAGTGGCGATCCTGGCAGCGCTGCTGGCGACGGCGGCGGTGGCGGTGGGTCAGCCGACGGCGGCGGCGGGTCTACTAAGGGCGCTGGCGGTGGATCAGCTAAGGCTGGCGGTGGATCTGCAAAGGGCGATGGTGGTGGATCGGCTAAGCCCGAGGGCGACGGCGGTGGATCTGCACAGGGCGTTTCGTCAAAAGCGGGCGCCGCCGGAGGTGCCAAGGCCAAGGCGGGCGCTGGTGGTGGCTCTGGCGGTGGCGGCGGTGGCGGCGGAGGCGACAACCGGCGGCAGCGGCGGAGCAGCGGCAGCGACAGGGACGGCGATCAGCCTGGCGATGATGAGGATCTGAAGTAGATCCTGCTGGTATTACGCGCACATGTTGGGCCCTGCCCCTCACTAACAGTGGATTATGGAAATGTAGATCACCTACCACTAAAAATGGTCTTCCCAGTTGCGGTGACTGTTGGTCTGTTTGGGGGCAGGGCCACGCAAAAAGACACAGCAAGGCCTGTGCCGGGAGCGCTGAAACACATCAGTCCGCGCGCGAGACCTGGAGTTCTAAGAACAATGTTGAACCGGCCTCCAACAGTAGACTGTTGCTTTTCACTTCTTAATTTTAAATTCGATGAAGATTGAAATGCTGAAAAAGCATTCAATTCCTGAAGAAGGAGAGCTGGAAGACAGTAGTTGGATGTTGGCAGCGACCGACATTGCAATCTTGGCTCTTGCCTCACACTTCAGGCTTTCTGCCAGTGGCGCTGCGGCGCTGCTGCTGCTGCTGCTGTGGCGCAGGCCTGGCAAAGCCTTCGGGTTTGAGGTTTTATTGACGAAACAAACACTCTGCTGGACAAGCAGAGCGCGCGGTCTTGCTGAAAAAGCAATTGCTGGCTGACAAAGCAAATGTTCTACATTGTCACTTGGTTGCTGAAGACGCAATGCCCACGGTTTGCTGAAAAAGCAAGGCCTAGCGTCCTTGCTGAAGAAGCAATGCGTTTGCCGCCCTTGTTGAGTAAGCAAAGCATTCAAACATGTTTATCCCCTTTTGGGTTTGCTGAAGAAGCAAGGCCTAATTTCCGTGCTGAAAAAGCAAGGCCGTATGTCCTCCTTGCTGAATAAGCAAGGCGGGAATATTTATCACTTTCGGTCAGAAACTTCCTTGTTGAATAAGCAAGATCTACATCCTTGCTGAATAAGCAAGGCTTCCGTCCTTGCTGAATAAGCAAGGGGGAAATGTTTGTTACTGTTGGTCAGCAACATCCTTGCTGAGTAAGCAAGATCAACATCCTTGCTGAATAAGCAAGGCTTCCGTCCTTGCTGAATAAGCAAGGGGGAAATGTTTGTTATTGTTGGTCAGCAACATCCTTGCTGAGTAAGCAAGATCAACATCCTTGCTGAATAAGCAAGGCTTCCGTCCTTGCTGAATAAGCAAGGGGGAAATGTTTGATACTGTTGGTCAGCAACATCTTTGCTGAGTAAGCCAGATCAACATCCTTGCTGAATAAGCAAGGCTTCCGTCCTTGCTGAATAATAAGGGGGAACTGTTTGTTACTGTTGGTCAGCAACATCCTTGCTGAGTAAGCAAGATCAACATCCTTGCTGAATAAGCAAGGCCTAACGTCCTTGTTGAATAAGCAAAGGGGAAACAGTTTGTTACTGTTGGTCAGCAACATCCTTGCTGAGTAAGCAAGGTCAACATCCTTGCTGAATAAGCAAGGCTTAACGTTCCTGTTGAATAAGCAAAGGGGAAGCAGTTTGTTACTGTTAATCAACATCCTTGCTGAGTAAGCAAGATCAACATTTTTGCTGAATAAGCAAGATGCAAGAGCGCAGGTTTTGTGAAAAAGCCTGGGTTACGTGCTGCAAAAGCAACACCTGCCAGAATTGAGTGCGTTGTTTGCCATTTTGAACTACCTCCCTTCGTTTGGAGTTGGGAGTGTGCGCGCAGGCAGGCTTGACTGAACGCATTGCCAGTCGTTTCTGAGGTTTATCACTGCTGAATAAGCAGTTGTGATTCTTGCTGAAAAAGCAAGCGAATGGAACTTGTGCGTTGTCGCCGAGTGATCTTGCTGAGCAAGCAAGCATCTGCCGGATAGGCATCCACTGCATGACAGGTAGCATCGATGATGCCGGAGAGGCAGTCCTCTTATTATGACGAAAGTTTAGACTGGTTCCCCCCGTTCAAGAGTAAGTAAGTGCTTGCCCCGTCAGCGTCGGCCCCGTTTGTGTGGACAAAGCGCAAGTGTTCATGCTGAGTACTGAGCAACTAGTTGAGAAGCAAGAGACAGAGACAACATTCAGTTCGCAGCCACGCTTTGAAGTTCTCAAGGGATAGGCAAGTTGGCTGGGTTTATTGCCTCCAATGCCCTCTCGCCGACAACGAAGGCCATGCCCTTATGTTGTGATGAACATCTACACGACCCCAGCCTTGGAAGATAGATGCCAGACATGTAGCGAATCAGAAACTTGGCAAGTGTTGGGGTTGTTCATTGATGTTTGTGGAGCTCTGGGGTGAAGTTCAAATCGACAAACAACTAAGGATTGGGCATCTGCACGAAAGTTGGCCGAAGATATACGCCGATTCTTGAAGGAGCACCGTGCTGCGAGTTGCGTCGTGTCCAGCCCGCCTTCTGAGCAGTCCCTGCCAAAGCAAACGCCTGGTGGCCTGAGGCGTGGCAATGCAGTTTTGGAAGAGCCAGACAATTGATTCAAAGTGAACGGAACCTGCTTCGGAAGTCAATCGCAGCTGCGCTAGACATGCTCAACTTTGGATCAAGACGAATGGCCATTTGTCTCGTTTCATGTGGAGTAGTGCGTGAGTTTTACCGCGCTCAGCCAATGTAATTAGATGCTCTTCAGGGTCAGACCGCAATGTCAAAAGCCGTTGCGCAGTCCGTGTCATTTCGACCCCGCTGCCTGGACATTTGCGCAGCACAGTGTCGCAATCTACGGCCGTGCGCTGCAGCCATTATTTAGGCAAGTAGGCAGCAGCGTTTGTTAAATCACAGACTTGCACATCCGAGCAGGTATTTTCCAACGCACACACCCAGAACACAGGACACCGCAGGACAACACAGGACACCCAGACACAGGCTTACAGGGCACTCGCAGCAGGGCTCCGCCGCCATGATCCCCGGCTTTGGCCGCGTTGCTCGGCCATTGGCGGGCAGAGCGCCCCCGACACCACCGGGCAAGCTTGAGGCAGTGTGAGATGCGGTCACTGCGTGCAGCCAAGGCGAGGCTGACTCTGGGGAATTAAAATTAGACGACTCCATCGCGCACGTGAAGAGCTGCAAGAATGCTCGGTGCTTCAGATGCTGCTACCTCCGGAATAGAGAGTCGTGGGAAGAAGCCACTCGTCTTCGTTTACATGGGAAAGCCTTGGCTGTGTCCTGGTTGACGCAGTGTCGCAGTGAGGACGACATTTGGGGCATTGGGTGCTGGGTCTGCAAAAAGGCTGGCAAGTGCTGCAAGTACGCTGCTGGCGCCGTCCGGTCTGGGAACCTGAAGAACATTCAGACTCACACCACCTCTGTTTCTCATCAGCTCTCGCTTGACAGCCTTGGCATGGACAGCGACGTCCCTGACTTGAATCTCGCGCCTGCGGCAGGCGACTTTGCAAAGGTGCTGAAGCACCGGCAAGCTGGGAACAGTTTGAGCCAAGGCATTCTGGGGATCGGCGGTCGATTCAAACTAAGTCAAATGCAGTGGGCTTTGGCAGAAGCTGCGAGGGCGGAAACCCGGAAAATCCTATCCGAATCTGTGACTGTTTGTATTGGGCAGGATTGCCGCAAGGCAGAGTTACTCATGCGGTACACGGCGTGCGACAAGGCTCTGTCTGTGCGCCGCGGCATGGTCGGGTCGCTGCCTGTGGAAGGCGGAGAAACAATCACCAACACCCTGAAGACCATGGAGAAGATACTCATGCACGTCTTTGACGGCGATCAGGCTGCAATGAAGAACTTCGCCAAGAAAGTCTCCATCTTTGTGGCTGACGCTGCAAGCAGTGAGCAAGGGTCTGGAAGAGAAGCCGGCCGCGCGCTGTTTCCAAACCTGCTGACAATTCAGCGCGACCGGAGCCACGCTGCGACACGGGTCTTCAAACGGCCATGGGAGGCTGACTCTGAAATTTCTGGGCTGCTGCAAACATTTGTCTTCGACAAAACTTGCATATGCCGCAAGATTGAGAATTCACCTGTTCTACAGGGGGTGTTCGCGAGGTATGTGCAGCAGCAAGGTGGCAATGTGGCATCCAGCCGGAAAAGCTTGCAGGCTGCAAAGCATCGTTTTGCCAGTTACAGCCAGCCGCTTGGCAGACTGATCTTACATTGGGATGCCGTGCTGAGCACCCTGATTTGGGTTTCGGCAAACCGCGATGGGGACGAAGCCAAACAAGCAACTGACTTCCTTGCTGAGTTGTCAGAGGAGCGCCTTGTTCTTCTCTCGATGGCAGCTGACCTGGCAGATGAGTGCATTTGCTTTGTGCGCCTGTATGACCGTGAGTCATATGACGTCAGCGAGACAGCCTTTGAGGTCTCGGCTTTCCTCTCAAGACTCCACCACCTGGTCAATGAGGCCTGGCGCTAAATAAGGCTGTGGCTTTTTGAGGGTTTGCTTACTTTTACTGCAGGGTGGCATCCTGCAGCAGGGCTTCACTCTCCACATGCTCCGCCAGCTCGACAAGCAAACAGCCTTCATGGCCAAGGGTGTGCCCAAGGTCCTGGGCGGCCCACGGCGAGTGTCGTCAGAGATGCTCCTGCAGATGGTTCAGCGGCTTCAGGTCTTCGTCGCCCTGGCAGTGGACACTGTCAAGGCAGAGTTTCCTGGCCATGACATTGTGATGGCGTTCAACGCCTTTGATGTTTCAAAGGCCCACACAAATCGCCGGATGGCAAGCAGAGAGAACCACCAGGAAAACGCCAAGACAAGTTTGGAGCGCATCGCCAATGTTCTGCTTTTGCCTGCCCAGACGCTGCACGACCAATACCTGGACATCCTGCCAATCGCTCTCCATGAGGCAGCTACTTCTGGCAGGCCGTTCGAGTCGTGGCGCAACGCCGTGCTGCGGGCACGCAAGGGGAAGGGCAGCGGTCATCCCACAGACGTTCTAGGCCAGGCGCTGGCCTACTATGGGGCTTGGAATGGCCTGACTACCTCGGGGGTGGAGCAGGGGTTCTCCAAGATCGAGCGTCTGATCCCCAAAGACCGGCGGCTCATGGCAGAAGCAACCAAGGACACCGAGCTGAGGCTGCTGTTCCATGCGGAGGACCCGGACGCGCTATGCAAACAAGCAGTGCAGGTGTGGCTGCAGAATTTTGGAGCACCTCGCTCATCTGCGCTGGACAGGATTGACAAAGGAGTCCCTCGCAAGCGACCAGTCGATGACGACGAGGAAGCAGACGGAAAAAATGAGATCGGGTTCAGGCGGCCAGGCGGCAGTTGCAGTTTAGTCAGTTTTGCTTTGATTTGAGGCTGTTCGGCTTGTCGGGTTTAAGTTTGTGCGGCGGTGGTGGCTGAAGCAAAAGCGACGTTCTGTCGTTGGCAAGCGAGCCGCCCTGGTCTCGGCAGATGAGGCGCAGCACGCTGCACAGCAAGGAAGCGAGGGGCTGTGGGACGCAAGCCTCCTGGCCGAGCAGTCTTTTCAGCAAAGCAAGCAGTACAAGTGCCGTGTCCAGTCCCTGCTGGAAGGAGCGCTGCTTGAAGGCGAGATCGACGATGACCTGCTGGAGGTCACCCAAGCCTTCCAAGCCAACGTTGCCAAGAACAACCGTGACCGTGTCACCAAGGAAAGGCAGCGAGCAAGTTTAATTCGCCCGGCCATGGTCAAAAACCTCCAGACAAGCACTTTCTGGCTCGAGAACGCTGAGCTGGCGAAGCTTGACTGTGCCAATCCTGCGCTTGTCCGTGCGCGCCCCGAGGAAGCTGACAACTTCATCGTGTTGAACCCAGCCAACCCGCCAGAAGCAGTGCTGTGGACAGCCGCCTTGCAAGGGGGGTATGTCGCCAACAATATGTACTTCATGACTGGCGGCGCCCAGGGCATCGCCTTTGACTTTTTTCCTGCGACCGCAGTCAAGAGAAGCGTGTTCATCAGCCACTGCTTTGTCCGGGAAGAACCTGATCTTGCACGCATTCTGCGGTGCGCGTGCGGGCGTGTCTTGTCACGCTGGGCCTTGCTGACTTCCGTAGAGGACTTTGTCCACATGACCACCAGGGCCGCCGGCCCCCAGGTCAAGAACCCGAAGCGCTATGCTGTGATAGCTGTCATGAGCGAGCAAGCTGCAATCCGGGCAGCTGAGCACAATGTGTTTGGCAAACAAGGGCTTTTGCAGTTCGTTGCGAAACAGGCCTGCGTTGCCAAGGGGATTTGCGGAATGTAACAGCCTGTGCCGGCAAACGCCGGCAAGGCTGGCATTCCATGGGATGGTGCTGAGCACCTTTTGAGCAGAATCAGCCAAGGGCGAGTAACAACACGTTACAGGCACAGCCAGGACCGGGGCCAGGTGAAAAGAAAACTTTGCACAGGCAGGAGTGTGACAAAACGCCTGTTGACAAAACGCCTGTTGGAGCTCGCCAGACTTGTCAAGCTGTGTTGCCTAGTGTGATTTGCGCCCGACTGTCGTGAAGCAAGGCGCCGATGTGTGACAGGGGCTCAAGCCAGTAGCGGGGCTCGTCGTCGCAGCAATCATGGCGCCGAAGAAGGCCAAGGCAAAGGCCAAGGCCGCGGCGGCTGCGGCTGACGTGGTGCTGGTTCATGGTCCAGCGGTTCCGCCGCCGCAGGACAATCTGAACATGGAGTACCACCATGAGCTGGAGCAGGCGGTGCAGGAGATTTTGGCCTGTCCAACCTTCGCCGACCTGCCCTCTGCAGACCCAGTTGGAATCTCTGGGACCGCATCTGCAGAAGATGCTGGGTGGAAGGCTCGCTGTTTGCAAAGAGGGTCACCAACTTAAATTGAAAAGGCAAAAAGGGCTCAAGAAGAGCAAATTCAACTTTTAACAGTCGCTGATTGCTTCCATCCGGGCTTTAATCACATTTCCATTTGCAGTTCTAGGAGAGTTGGCTTTCTTATCTGGAGCCAATCCTAACTCGAAGCTGTTGGAAGGCTAGGGTGCCAGCACCCTAGGCTTCCAACAGTCCGGACCGGTCGGGACTGTTGGAAGGGCTCCTTTTTGCAAACACGAAACTGTTGGAAGGCTAGGGTGCCAGCACCCTATGCTTCCAACAGTTTCGTGTTTGCAAAAAAGAGCCCTTCCAACAGTCCCGACCGGTCCGGACTGTTGGAAGCCTAGGGTGCTGGCACCCTAGCCTTCCAACAGTTTGAGACTTTTTTAGATCAAAAAAAAATAATTTTTATAAAGAAAATAATTTCCAGATTTCGGCAGTTTCGCAAAAGTTTCTGAGCTGTCGTCCCTGACGAGGCCACTTTCAGCGCGGAGGCCTACCAGGCCGCAATGCAGACGGCTGGGGTGTACGAGGCCGCCGGCAACATCTTCTGGCTGAACCTCCGCGGGTCCGCGACGCCTGGCGTCCCGATTAATGCAACCGCCGTCAAAAACCTCCAGCGCTCCCACTTCAAGGGTCCGGCGCACTTCGACGGCTCGGTGGCTGTGGCAGTGCCGAAGAATTTGGCCCTTTCCTTTGGCAACCTACGGAGGGTGTCGCCTGAGGAGCCAGAGCACGCGATGCTCTTCGCCGTCCGGGACGCCATCCGGGCAGGGGAGGCTGAGAAGACACTCAGGAGCTGGAGGTCAAAGCTGCTGAGTGTCACGATCCGCTTTGAGATCATCGAGACAGAGCAAGACATGTTCTTTCGAGCAGTCCGGGCACCTAGCTGTGGCGGCCGTTAAACATGTTTAATCCGGTGTCTGCAGGCTGCAGTCATATATTATTATTTGACGCCACGCGCAAAAACACCCTTACAAGGTCAACCTCCGCAACAAGGTCATCGAGGAGTACGAAGCCTTGGTGCGAACGGCAGTGGGCCGTGTGTTCGAGCTGGTCGCCTTTCGCTCTTCCATGCAGGCCTCGGGCGTGTCTGGCGCAGAGGAGCTGTTCAAGGCGTGGGAGGCCAATGTGAGGCAGACGCGCTCGCACTTGGCGGAGACAGTGACGCTCAACTTTGTCGAGACAGCCTTCAAGGTCTACGACAACTTGCTGGGCGACAAGAAGTTGCGGGCCTCAGTGATGCGCATTGAGGAGCGCTATGGCAAGATGTCACCGTGGGTGTGGATGACCAACTTGGATGCGGTGGTGCTCAAGAGCAAGACTCCGCAGCTCATTGAGTGGGTACTTCTCATGGTGGAACACCTTCTCTTGACGGAGCAGATGAGCTGCAAAGATTTCACGAAGCGCACCCTGATACCACAGAAGCAAAAAGGCTTGCTTGATCTGTGGGTCTTCAAGAACGACCTCATGCGCTACATGGTGAACAACCTCCTGCCCAAGATTGAGCTTACCGCTGCGCAGCGGGAGGTGCTGGCGTCGCTGACCGTGGCAGAGGAGTTGCGCAGCAAGAACAAAAACAAGCAGTGGCAAGGAACTCTCCCCGAAAGCGCCAGGCTTTGGGTCACGTTCCTGACCAACGTGGTCTTCGGCGTGGGCTCTGATGGATGTTTGAAAACCACCTTGAAGGCGACGAGTGACATCAATGAGTTCATTGCCAACAATACTGCTGTGGCTGAGGCTTTTTCTGAAGTCGAAGAAAAGGCCAGAGCTGAGCAAGGTCGGCCGGAACAAGCCTCGGGCGGCAGCAGCGCAGAAGTTCAAACGCAAGCCTTGTGCGGCGTCGGCGGCATGGAGGTTTCGCTGACTGAGCTGATCACACCCGAGCAGGCGAATCAGGATGACGGGCAGCTGGAGGCCTGGTTCGAGTTTATGAACACCAAGATCGATCAGTTTTGCAAGTTCATCGTCGACCGAGGAGCAGCCAGCATGACCAATAGCGCCCTTGCCGCAGAGCTGAAGGAGAACAGCGTGCTGGCTGAAATAAATGGGCCAGCGCTGCTGCTATATGACTCGAAAACAGCAGGGGAGGCGAGCAGCAACGCAAACGTGAGGCTGCCGCCCTTCCGTGCCCAACACCTGAAGCGAATGGCCCAGGCCTTCATCAAGGCCCGTGACCAGGGGGGCGATGACATCGATCAGCAGGACAGGATTGGAAAGAACATTGCAGGAAAACGTTTGATAGTAGCTAATTATTAATTCCGTTGGCGCAGGAGGAGCTCCGCGACGGCGACATCATCATGGTGCTGGACGGCGGAAGGCATGGAAACGATGGCTCCATCCAGGGCAGCTTCACAAAGATCTCCGGGGAGTCGATCACCAAGGTGAAGCAAGCCTTTACGGTAGTATATGACGAAGAAAGTGTAGGAGAGAGAAGAGAACGCGTTCGCGGGTTTGTGACCTGCACAGAGTCACTCTACGCCTTCACGAGGACAGGCTTAGCCATGGAGCGGCGCCCGCGGAAACACTTTCCAGGCACAACGACGATGGGGTCCGTCATTGGGCCAATTCAGTCGCTGGCATGGACCGACGAAAACTGCTGGAAGGAGCAGCCCAAGGTCAAGAAGGATATTTTCACCAAGGAGCACAAGGTCCTGGTGGGGGGAGCGGTGGAGGCAACTGCTGCCCAAGCTACGAAGCCAAGCTTCCCCGACGACTCAGAGCCAGTCTTCTGGCATTATAGCCCGCCTGTGCTGTTCAGCGAACTTTTGCACAGCTTTCGCCCCATGGTGGTGGTGCGCGGCAACGAGACGGATCACTGCGTGGCCATGGAGTGCATCAAGGCCAAGATTCCGCTGGTGTCAATCTGCTTGAGCGAAACCCACAAGGAGGCCCTCACTGCTCAGGTGAAACGACGCTTGTGGAAGGCCATGCAGACGGAGAGCGTCCCGGAAGTCTACGAGCCCACCCTGGCAAAGTTGCTTTCTGAGTCGTCATCTGACGGCACGTCAAAGAACCAGAAGAAGACGAAGCCAGAGGCCAAGAAGCGAGCCAAGAAGGCAGAAGAGGGCGAGGACGACAAGGAGGCCAAGACTGAGGAGACGGGCGGCGAGCCAGAGCCCAAGAAGCCGAAGAAAGGTGGCCGACCGACTTCGTCGGCCAACGCCAGCGCCGCTGAGACTGCTCGCCAGGCGCTCTTGGCGAAGCTGATGGGCAAATCATCTGAGTGAGGGGTGCCCTGCAATTGAAGTTGGGTCAATTGCCAGTTCAGGTTTTGTTGGCGGCAACGCCGAGATTTGACATTTCAGACACCCAGTCGTGCGCGTTGGAGTTGAAAAAACCTGGGCGCTGTCAATTACTGCCAAAGCTTGATCCTTCAATGCTCACATGTCAATGTGAAGGCAGTTGGGCCACGACGACGCACCACACTTGAAAATTACAGATTCATGTTGCGTGCAAGGCTCCAGCGTGTTGGGAGTTGGCCAGCCATGGATTCTGATGACGAAGAGGGAGGCTGCATTATGGGCTTCAGGGCCCCGCCTGCGGCGAAGAAGGCGAGGGCGAGGGCTGCGCCAAAGGTTGTCAGCAAGGTGAAGCAGATCATTGACAAGGCAAAGGCAAGGGCGAAGCCGAAGCCGAAGCCAACGGCAACTGCGGCAACACCTGTTCTCAAGCGACCGGCCGGCAAGGCCACACGACGGGATGACAGCCATGACGCCAACGAGACGATGAGGAAGGCGCTGCAGGAAACAGCTAAGATCAGCCTGCCGCCGGTGAGGGTGTGCGCCTCTCCCCACAAAGGCTTGCGGGTTGGAAGCTGCTGCTCTGGGTGGGGGTCGGATGTTTTCGCCTTGGAGAATCTGAAGGTCCCGCACACTTTGTGCTTCTGCAGCGACAACGACAGCGCGGTGCGGACCCTGTTGTCACACACACACAGCCACCACCACTTCTTCGAAGATTGCACCCTCCCTGAGTTCATCAACGGCGCCCCGTCGGTGGATGTGTTTTTTGCTGGCTTTCCCTGCCAGCCCTACAGCGCAGCAGGAAGCCTCTTAGGGCTAGATGACCATCGGTCATTGCCGCTGTATGCCATCTTACACTACGTTGTCAAGCGCCTTCCAGGCATAGCCCTACTTGAAAACGTACTTGGCTTGCTTCGATTTCACAAACCTGTTCTGGAATCGATCCTGCTGGTGCTGAGCGGCCTGAAGGACTCAGCTGGCCAGCCAGCGCACCACGGCAACAACGGCGCTATTTCAAGGTTGCGTTCGTCGTTCTTTTTCAATTGATAATAGTTCATTTCGCTTATTTTTGTTGTTCTTGCTCGCAGGTACGACGTCAGCTGGAAGGTGCTGAATGCCAGGGTCCACGCAGGTGTTCCTCAAAACCGAGAGCGAGTTTTCGTGGTGGCGATCAAGAGGTCCATTCAGAAGCGGCCCATGGTGTGGCCCCAGGAAAGACCAACGCAGCCGCTCTCGAAGTACATTAACTTGAGCTTGCGCGGGGCCGCCTCGGAGTTGGACAAATTGCCCCGTGGGGCCCGCAAGAACTTGGACGGAGCGCTCAAGACCATTCGCCAGAGAGGCGGTGACCCACAGAAGGATCTGTACGTGATCGACTTGAGCCCCTCCCAGGGTCGTGGCCCGAGCTTCATGAAGGATATTTGCCCGTGCGTGACTGCCTCGCGAGGCAAAGGCCAAGGCTTTTGGCTGAGCAGCTTGGGCAGGTGGACGAATCGCACCGAGCTGCTGGGGTTGATGGGCGTCAGCCGCGCTCGCCTTCCTGAGAACGTGATCTCTGAGGCATCTTTGGGCAAGATTGCCGGGAGCGCGGTTCCGGTGCCCCTAATGGAGGCTGTGCTAGAAAGTTGCTTGCGGGCAACAGGCGCGCTGCCTTAGTTTAGCTTAGCTTAGCCACAGGAGGGGATTGCCAAGAGGAAAATAGCGGTTAATAGCGCCCCTCACTCATATAATTCATTAAAAGACGACAGCTCAACGATGGCTCTCCTGACTGTGGCTGTGCAAGGTAGGGACTGACCCGTGCCGCCGCCAAGTGGAATAAATAGAATGGCCACGCGCTTGCAGTGTGGTTTACAAAATGCTGCAGAAGCACGACACTGCTGAAAAAGCAGCTCGGTAACAGTAACAATTTGAAAATGTAGTCACAGGAGTTCTTTCTCAGGAGTTCTTTCTCAGGAGTTCCTTGTGTTCAGATTGCCCCGCCTTGCAGGCGCAGCGCGCGTGCTGTGGCCGGCGCGGCCGACGCGCTGCCTTGGCGCTGCTTGGCGGCAGGGGCGACAGCAACTACAACAAACAGCAGGCGCAGCCAAGTTACCAGCGACATCGCAGCCGACAAACAACAACTGAGGAAATCTGGCAACAGCAGGAGCGGGAAGAAAGGGCGCAGAAAGACAAATAGGAACAGAAGCAACAACAACAACAACCACCACCACCACCCACCCACCCACCCACCCACCCACCCACCCACCCACCAACCAACCAACCAACCAACCAACCAACCAACCAACCAACCAACCAACCAACCAACCAACCAACCAACCAACCAACCAACCAACCAACCAACCAACCAACCAACCAACCACAACGACGACGACGACGACGACGACGACGACGACGACGACGACGACGACGACGACGACGACGACGACGAAGACGACGACGACGACGACTACGACGACGACGACGACGACGACGACGACGACGACGACGACGACGACGACGACGACGACGACGACGACGACGACGACGACGACGGACGACAACGGACGACGACAACAACAACAACAACAACAACAACAACAACAACAACAACAACAACAACAACAACAACAACAACAACAACAACAACAACAACAACAACAACAACAACAACAGCAGCAGCAGCAGCAGCAACAACAACAACAACAACCCAACAGTAACAAGAACAACAACAACAAGAAAAATCAGAAAACAAAAGAAGACAAATAAGAATAATAATAAGACGACGACGAAGAGCAGCGTCATCAGCAGTAGCAACAACAACAACAACAACAACAACAACAACAACAACAACAACAACAACAGGACCACAACAACGCAACAGCAACAATGACCAGCGGAAGCAAGAACACAACATCATGGGTGGCTTGCTTCAGTTGTTACTGCTTGAGCATTTTGCAGAAGTGCCTCACTTTCTAGTTTCGTGCTGGAGAAGCACATGCCTGCTGAATAAGCAACGCATCATGTCGATTTCGCAAATTAAATGTGTGCTGGACAAGCACATGCCTGCTGAATAAGCAGCGCATCATGTCGATTTCGCAAATTAAATGTGTGCTGGAGAAGCACGTGTCTGCTGAATAAGCAGCACGTCATGGCCTTTTGAGATGCCCCCAACTTTGACAGGGAAACATTGATTTTGAGCCGCCTTTCATTTCCGGCCCAGGCACACAGCTGGTATGGACACTGGACATGCAACATGACTGGACACAATGATTGGACATGCGCTGCAACTTGACTGGGCTGGCAACTGGACAACATGGATTAGGCATACACAACCTAGCACTAGTCGTAGCTTGGTACTTTCCTTGGCGAGTCTGCAAGCCATGGCCTCGCCGAGGCCGGCGAAGGACGGGACAGTGCCGTGGAAGGCACCGCCGCCTGGTCCTCCACCTGGTCCTCCACCTCCTCCTGTTCCTCCACCTGTTCCTCCACCTGGTCCTCCACCTGGTCCTCCACTTGATGTCCCTGATCCAGCTGGTGGTGATGTTCCTGACCCTGGCGCTGCTCCTGCCGCTCCTCTCGGCGGCGCTCCTCCACCTGACACTCCTGGACCTGGCGCTCCTGAACCTGGCGCTCCAGCTGCTGGACCTGCAGCGGCGAAGGCTTCGGGCTTTGTCGGCAGACTGAGCTCGGTGTCGCCAATGGTGGCCGCCGCCGCCGATGCCAAGGGCCCCGGCAAGGCGCAAATCAAGCGCCTTGTGGAGCGGGCGTTCGCGGCACAGATCGAGGACTTCAGGGGCATAGTCAACGATCTGCGGCGCGGGCAGGATGCGCAATCTGACAGGCTCGCGGCCTTGCACTCGCAGCTGTCGACAGTGCGGCTGGGCGCGGGCAGGGATGTGCGTCGGTGAGCTCCACACCTCTGTCGGCGAGATCAAGGCAGCTCTCGGCCTCCCTGGCGGCGCTGTGCCTGGAGATGGCAAAGGCGGAGGTGGATCTGCAGTGGACGCCGGCCCTGGCGGTGGATCGTCTTCCAAGGGCGTTGGCGGCGGTGGATCTGCGAAGGGCGACGGTGGTGGATCAGTCAAGGGCGGCAGCGGTGGCGGCGGATCTACTGAGGGCGCTGGTGGTGGATCTGCGAAGGCGGGTGCTGGCGGTGGCGATGGCGGATCTGCTAAGGCTGGCGGCGGGTCAGCCAAGGCCGACGGTGGCGGCGGGTCTAAGGGCGCTGGCGGTGGATCGGCTGTGGTCCTGGTGGCAAAGGCCAAGGGCGATGGCGGCGGTGGACCTGCGAAGGCAGGTGCTGGCGGTGCGAAGGGCGACGGTGGTGGATCTGCAAAGGCTAAGCCTAAGGGCGACGGCGGCGACGGCGGTGGTAAGGGCGACGGCGGTGGATCTGCAAAGGCTAAGGGCGATGGCGGCGGATCTGCAAAGGGTGATGGTGGATCGGCAAAGGCTAAGCCTAAGGGCGACGGCGGTGGATCTGCAAAGGGCGGCAGCGCCGGTGAAAAGGGCGTTACGTCAAAGGCGGGCGGAGGTGCCAAGGCCAAGGCGGGCGGCGCGGGTGGTGGATCTGACGGTGGCAAAGCTAGACCTCGTGGCACGGCTGGCTCTGGCGGTGGCGGCGGAGGCGACAGAGGGATCTGGATGCGGAGCGGCGCTGACAACCGGCGGCGGCGGAGCAGCGGCAGCGACAGTGACGATCAGCCGGACAAGCGGAGGCGATCGTCCTGGCCATCCTGGCGATGATGAGGATCTGAAAAAATATTCTTGGGGGGAGGTTTGTTTGGTGATTTGTTTTTTTTTTTAAATTAGGCTGGGGCGTGTCATTGGGATTAAATTAGCAACTTCCGAGTTCTGGGGCAGCCCCTGCCAGGCGGGCGGCGGTGGCAGTGAGCTGGACGCGCTGGAGAAGCGCGCGCAAAGAAAATTTGCGGTTGCACGTTGTCGTCGGTTGTCACGCACAGCGCTGAGTAAGCGCGTGTGTTTCAAGTGCAAGCCCTGAATAAGCG